TTCTAGCGATTAGACTACTGCGCCGTTAATGATATACACCATGGATTCACACGTACGTGATGGGGAGCTGGAGCTGGAGCCGAACAGCGAGTGCGACTACGTTGTCATCGTTATCTCCGTCATTGTTATCTTTATCATTGTCATCTTTATCTTTGTCATCGTTGTCATCGTTATCTTCGTATAGGTATGTTCGCGACGGACGGGGAGTTGGAGACAAACAGCGATTGCGACTACGTCATCATCATCACCATCATCATCTTCGTCATCGTTATCATCGTCATTGTCGTCTTTGTTATCGTTATCTTCTTCGTTTAGGTATGTTCGCGACGGATGGAGAGCTGGAGCCGAACAGTGATTGCGACTATGTCGTCATCGTTATCTCCGTCATCGTTATCTTCATCATCGTTATCTTCGTCATCGTTATCATCGTCATCATCATCGTTATCTCCGTCATCGTTATCTTCGTCATCGTTATCATCGTCGTCATCGTTATGTTTGTCACCGTTATCTTCATCATCGTTATCTTCCTCATTGTGATCTTGTCATCGTTATCGTCTTCGTCATCTTCATCATCGTTATCGTCTTTGTTATCTTCTTCGTCAAGGTATGTTTGCGACGGACGGAGAGCTGGAGCCTAACAGTGATTGCGACTACGTCGTTGACAGCCGTGGGAAGCCTCGTCGTGGGAGGTTCTTTTCACCCGGCTACCCGCGCGTCTACCATCGCCGCGGCAACGCCCGCTGCACATACTCGTTCTTCGGTCACTCGAGGCAACGCGTGAAGCTCAACTTCAAGAAAGTGACAATGAAGCATCCAGATTCTAGGTAAGGACCATGCCAGGGTAAAAAATACACGGGAGCGATGAGCGATTCGCTCTTCAAACCTCAGAAATCGCTCCCGTGAGGCTCGAAATAGCTCCCGTAAAATTTTTGACGAGAGTTATTTCTCCCACAGACTTTTGAGTAAAAGTTATTTTTCCCCTGGACCATGCGGTACTTCGCGCAGTCAGTATCATCACCCGGTTCTAGGTAGCGGTGGCGTCGCGCATATACGTATCTCTAAGTGAACGTGCTCTAGGCGTTAGTTTTGTATTTAAGCGTTCCGAAGAGAGAGAGAGAAATTTTTTATGCATTTGTCATCTTCAAATTTGCATCACTGATTTCGTGGCAAGACTATTGATCGACGTAAATTTTCCCCTTAAAATGTCATCGAAAACTTGTGAGATAATTTATTACAGTAATATTCCGTGCACGTACGTATCTCTGCGTAAACGCGCTCTAGACGTTAGTAAATATTTAACATCGAAATATTGTTGTTGTATTCCCCCACTCCCATTCTGTAGCTACAGGGCTCGAATTTCCCTATTGCTAACTCGCAAAATGCGTGTCGATATTGAGAAATTGCAAGTAGAAAATATAAGCACTTGCTATTTTCTGCGAGTGGAAATTCAACATAAGCTCATTCCAACCATTAGTATTAATAGTATGCAAAAAGTGTATGTAATATTCAAAAAGTAGTTTATGTTGTGGAAAACAAATTGCACGATAGAATTCATTTTAGCACGTAGATTTTTTAGGCACTCGCGATTTTTCGCAAGTGGCTAAAATTGCGAAATTGGTCCCCTGTAGCTACGTAATGTGTAGACTGTTGAGACAAGGGTAAGACCTAGCTCCTGCTTTATGTACAGTCAACCCTATATGCGACTACCATTCACGGTAAACGTCCCCCACCCCCACCAATGTGTCCTTTATAGACAAGTGACCGTTCTATAGAGGCTGTCCTATATAGACAGGTGTCCGTGCTATAGAGGTTGTCCTTTATAGACAGGTGTCCGTGCTATAGAGGTTGTCCTTTATAGACAGGTGTCCGTTCAGCATGCAAGTGCATCTCGTACGTCAGCTCGCACAAGAAGGTCGGCTACTTCACGTCACCGAACTTCTCTCAGCCGTACCCGGACGACGTCCAGTGCCTGCTCTACACGTTCCGCGGACGCGCTGACGAGATCGTAGAACTCACCTTTCTCGAGTTTGACCTTCAGGCTCCCATCAACCACAGGTGAGTGGTGACCTTTAGGTTGTGACCTTTAGGCTCCCATCAGCTACAGGTAAGTGTCTGCTCTACACGTCCCGCGGACGCGCAGACGAAATCGTAGAACTCGCCTTCAAACGAGTTTGACCTCCAGGCTCCCGTCAACGGCAGGTAAGCGGCGCTGCCAATGTCAAGGTTGTAACATTTACCTTGTGACCTTTAGCCCCCCCCTCAATGACAGGTAAGTGGTGGCCTTCAGGTTATGACCTTCAGGCTCCCGTCAATGGCAGGTGAGTGATGACCTTGAGGTTGTGACCTTCAGGCTCCCATCAAAGACAGGTAAGTGGTGACCTTCAGGTTGTGACCTTCAGGCTCCCATCAATGGCAGGTAAGTGGTGACCTTCAGGTTGTGACCTTCAGGCTCCCATCAATGGCAGGTAAGTGGTGACCTTCAGGTTGTGACCTTCAGGCTCCCGTCAGCTACATTTAAATGCCTGCTCTACACGTTCCGCGGACGCACGGATGAGATCGTAGAACTCACCTTCCTCGAGTTTGACCTCCAGGCTCCCATCAACCACAGGTTTGTGACGCTGCCAAGGTCATGACCTTTTGGGTCCTAACGTTTACATTGTGGACATCAGGCTCCCATCATTCGACAAGTTAGTGACATCACCAAGGTCGCGACCTTCAGGTCGTAATGGTCACATTGGGACCTTCAGGCTCCCGTCATTCGGCAAGTTAGTGACATTACCAAGGTCGTGACCTTCAGATCGTGACCTTCAGGTCGTGACCTTCAGGTCGTAATGTTCACATTGTGACTTTCAGGCTCGCCTTAAACATTGTTAAATGAAGGGTTAGTGGCGCCACCATAGTTGTAACCTTCAGGCTCTCATAAACAACGGGTTAGTGGCGCCACCAAGGTCGTGACCTTCAGTTCGTAACCTTCACGTCGTCACCTTTAGTATTCCGTCAACGACGGGTTGGTCACAAAGGCCTATGAATAATAAATGCCTTCGACTTGTTGTTTTCCAAGTGCGGTGATGCAGGGACGTTGTTTCTAGAGCTGAACGAAGCATCCTATATTTGCAACCTAGTACAGCATTAGTAGTAGCAGGAAATACTGCACTGCAGTCTGCAGCCCATAGAATGAAGAGGTGAGACTTAGACAGGTCTCTATATAAACCAAGGATCGAGTGGTAGTAGTATATATGTAGTATATATGTAGCGGCCCGTCTTTACGCCACTGGTGTCACCAGGTGTATGATGGGATGAACAGCTATTATAAGTAGAGCCAGTGTATGCATACTCTGTCTCCCTAGCTCTAGAACTATAGCCTTTCGCTCTGCCACAGGGCTATAGTTCTAGAGCTACTGTCTCCCTCGCCTAGCAAATTAGTGACTTTAGACACCCATTTCCATCTGTCATGGCATTGCAAACAGAACATTATGATACAATAACGTCACAGGGCCGTCGCCAGAGATTGACTAATGTTGAAGCCCAGTCACGAAGGCATGAAGCACAGTAAAATGGGGAGAGTGTGTGAGGGGGTTTCTCCCTCCCCTTGGTGGGGGTCCGGGGGCCTCCCCCGAAAATGTCTAGAGTGCTACATGGAAAATGGTGTACGCTGGCGAGTTTCAAATTTAAATTTTAACATTTGAAACACAGTAAAAAGTACATTGCTTAATAGTACATAGTTTATAGTAATTGTACATATATAGTGTACTTTCACAATTTAAATAAAATATCCAGAAATAATGTTGAAGCCTGAGCTTCCGGGCATTCGCCTGACAACGTGCCTGCATCAAAACTGATCAAAATACTGATAAAATCTATAACGATCAGGTCGATGGAAGAACAACACAATAGCTTGGGATATGAACTATAATGTGCTGGCTAGTGCAAGCCATTCTATTTGAAACTCAATAAAACATGAATACAATTAAATACGTGACTGCAAAACCCTAACGTGTTAGGTGGTAACTTACCACTTTTTGAAGCAACCTGCCGATTTCAATTGCTTTTTACAATTCATATATAGCCACGCCAATATACAAATTAATCTCACACTTACTTACCTTCATAGCAGGGCGCAAAATTAGCACCAGCCCACCAGCATATGCTGGTAAATTATTTGGAGGGCCAGTAACATTGGCAAAACACCGGCCCTCCGAGCCGGTGGTTTCAGCTGTGTTAGCGAGTACCTATACATTTTTATTTATAGCATTAACGAGCAAATAGCTTACAATACTGTTTTACCTGAAGGATATCACGCCATAATTTATCAACATTTTACAAATTTGAAATCGAGAATGCAAGCATGAAACGTGACGTAGACAAAAACACTTTGGACATCATTCACGATAGATCTGCATTATAGTCTGTTCGACAGCTACTATGTGATGCCGCACACTACAACTTTTAGATTTTGGAAGAATCCATCATGTTAGGCAACGGAGGCTCAATTTCTATTTAGGTTCGAGGCAGGTCTACCACTGCCGCCGCGCTTTTATTTCTACACAACACTCAAAACAACAGAACATCGCAAAAGTTACAAAGATGACCACCCGATGGCAGCACGTCTCAATCAATAATAATACCTGTCACAATAGCTCACACTCCCCACCTTGGACAGTTAAGCTGTTCAACCAAATGAAAGAATTCAATCAAAATCTTCGAACATCAAAGGACTGTATAATAATCAGAATTTAAGTCGTCACTCTAAACAGCAAAACTACAAATCTAATGGAGTTATCAAGAATACACGTGATCTCACTAATTCTAAATAAACAGGACAATCTAGTTATGGATCATATTGAACTGAAAGGAAAGTTTAACACATTGCTATCTTGCAATAACTAACGTCTATCTAAATTATCTTGTTCATGGAGGAGTTCAAGCCCACTATATAAATGACAGATTGAACACCATCACACTATAAACAATGTTCATATACAGTAGTACAGTATAAAGATTCACGCTAATAGTTTAAGCCAGGACTTTCTCCTTTGGTCCGCAGCAATGGCAGTTGCTCTCCTTGGTCTCCTTTCTCTCGAGTCCTGATCGATAGGGTAGATCTCTGGACTATCTCCCCTAGCTGCTTCATCAGGAGCTTCAGCACAGATATCCGCACACACCTCTAGAGGATAAAGCCGTTGTAGTGGACGTCTTAGTGTAGTTATCTTCCCCTTTGCTGATTGCACTTTCACTACAGCTTTCCTCACCTTATTATCAGAGCCGGTTATCAACTCGATAACCTTTGCCAGTTTCCACAAGCAACGTGGTTGGTTCTCCTCATGTATGAGGACTATGTCACCGACACAAATCTTCTGAGGATGATCACATTTCTTCCCGTATCGGTGTCCCTCTCGTAGTTCTGCAAGGTACTCATTTTTCCAGCGACTCCAAGCATGATCTAGGGCTAGCTGGAGGTGTCTCCATCTGTTCGATAGTTCTAAATTGGTTACCCGTGGCTCTGTTGACATCTCTTCATGGCAGTCAGGGAAACGATTTAGCTTCTGTCCGTAGAGTAAGTGGGACGGAGTAAGGGGTTGCTCCAAATCACTGGTATCTAAGTAAGTAAGCGGTCAAGTATTGAACATGAGTTCAACTTCACATAGAGCTGTTTGGATCTCATCAACTGTAAGTTTAGCACCACCTACAGTTTTCTTCAGGCTCCTCTTCAATGTCTTAATCAGTCTCTCAAAGAAGCCTCCCCACCATGGGGCCTTCTCCAGATTGAACTTCCACTGGATCTGGTTGTTAGCGGCGTATGTCTTCACGGCCACATGATTCACGATCTTGGCGACTGTCTTAGCTGCCTTCCTAAAGGTTGTCGCATTGTCGCTCACGACCAAGGACGGGGTCCCTCGTCTCCCAATGAACCGTCTAAGACATCTCAGGAAGGCATCAGTGGTCAAATCGGTCACTATTTCAAGGTGGACTGCCCTTGTCATACAACAGGTGAAGAGACAGACCCAGACCTTACCTCCATCTTTCGTGTAGAGTGGTCCAGCGTAGTCGAGACCCGTCATCGTGAAGGGGGGGGGGGTCCGAGGCTCACTCTGAATTCAGGCAATGGTGGTGACATCGGTGGTTTGTATGGCTGTCCATCAATTCTCTTACACAGTACGCACTTTATTATTAAGGATCTTACCATAGATCTCCCTTTGATTATCCAGTATTAGGATCTCAACTCTGTCAGTGTTGATTTTACCCCACTGTGGATCGTCCTCTCATGACAGTCTATGATAAGCAGCTTCGTAAACTCATGATTCCTATTCAATAGAATGGGGTATTTCTGGGAATGAGGAGCACTCATTTTTTCCAGACGTCCCTTACATCTCAAGAGTCCTCGATTCTCAAAGAGGCCAAGTTGAGTTTATCATGTTGGAAATAATGGATCATCGAACAGACTCTTCTGGGATTCCTTTATCCAACACTCCTCTGCTTCTTGTATGTCTCTCGCAGTGACATCTGCTGTTACTTGGCCCTTCCTCAGATGTCTTACAAATTTCAACACACATGGGCCGTAACTCTCAGACGTGATCTCCGTGTACTGAAGTCAGTAATATCCATAATGGTTCCAATTCTGGCAGGAAATTCATGCTCTGTGGTCAGCATGACCAGCTCTCTCTTCGCCTTCACCTTCATTTCGTCGAGGCACTCAATGGGTAGATCCATCTGTGACAGGTCATCCTCTTCAGGGAGGACATCGGGATTATCTGGGGTGTCACTCTGTTTTAGCCAGTAAGGACCATCAATCCAGGTAGAACACTGTGACAGTTCTTCTAGTGCCATGCCCCTTGAGGCGATATCGGCAGGATTCATCGAGCCTGGACAATGTCCCCAGGTGTCCACTGGTACAAGTTTACGTACTTCATTCACTCTATTCTGGACGAATTGTTTCCATTCAGACTTCACTCCTTTTATCCATGCCAGAGCAACTCTAGAATCTGACCAGCAATATGTCTCATCAATAGTGATCTCAAACTTTAGTGCTTCCTTCACCGTTCTAATCAGTCTAGCAAGAACAAGTGCTGACAGGAGTTCTAGACGTGGGATTGTCATTCCGGACACAGGGGTTACTCTTTGGCTAGTCTTTGATACCAGGAATCTGATTGTCCTTGTGCTGTGTGACATCACTACAAGATAGATCACTGCCCCGTAGGCCTTCGCTGAGGCATCACAAAATCCATGAATTTTATACACTAACTCACAGTTCTGATGTAGACTCATAGGATAGTAGCAACGTGGTATGGTTATACTAGCTGCTCGTTGGAGGTCTTGCACTAGGTTATTCCACTTCACAAGTAAGGAATTTTCCAGCAGGTCATCCCATCTGGATTTCATTTGGCACAGCTCTTGGAACAGCATCTTGAACCTTAGGATAGCTGGTGCCACTATACCAAGTGGATCATAGAAGGTTGAGGCTAGTTTCACGACATTTCGTTTGGTTGGGATGACGTCCATTGCTTGTTTTGCAACAAGCACTTAAACCAAGCTTCAGCTTATAGGATGCAGGATGGATTTGTGCGACATATTCTGAGAAAAATATCAAACAGTGAAACTTAATGCAGGCAATTCTGTATTTAATAGCTGCGCAATGGAAGTGCCAGATGAGGCCTTCCTAGACAGGTTGGCGTTTTACATAGATGTCCACTAACACGACGTTCACTGTACCTAGCAGTGAAAAAAATACACGGGGGCTCAGGGCGATTTAGCCCCCGAAATGCCAAAAAGAGCCCCGGAAATGCCAAAAAGAGCCCCCGTAAATGTGCATAAAGTTCAATGCAAACCAAATTTTAGAGTGCTATTTTCATGCCCGACGAGTTTGAAAAGTAGCCCCCGAAAAATTAATTTTAATTTTTTCCTTGGTACCTAAAAAGGGTTGTCTCTATATGGCTTTACACACAACAATCATTGTTTCTGGTCCATACGATGGCGCAACGAGTACTGGACGTAATTTTGTAGGCTGTGTGTATCACTCTGTCCAGTGACTGTCATGTCAGCTATATTCTGTCGCCGTAGGATCGTTTTGTTGTTGGCATAGCAACAATGCACTGTCTGTATTTTGTTACTGTATTCAGGCGATTCACTTTCCTCCACAAACTTCCACAAGGGGCCCTCCGACCATAGCGTTTCGGATTTTGGGGGTTATTGTTTTAGAATCGGGCAGAAGCGAATAGCTGCCTTCATTAGTATCGGATTCTAGCAAAATCAGTAAGACGAGATACGCTTTTTTCTCGTAATCTTACCCACGAGGTGTGTTTTTATGTTCACGCGAACGAGCGGCGAACGTTATCGTAGAGTTAGTGCTATTTTCTCGCTGGCTGTCTTGCTACTACTAAAATATCCCTCCACAGGTCGAGCAGAGGTCGCTGAACTAACAATGTCACTTTTTTTAGCTGCTGGGTCGTCGTGCGCTATTCTTATAACAGAGCGCGGGCTGAGAAGTAACTACGAGGTGTTATCGTTTCTTCTAAGATCATCCATACAAATTAGTGAAAACAGTAATAAAAACTAGTAGAAAAGGGTAGAAAAGGTAGAAAAGAGCCAATGTGAATTGGTTTGACGCTGCAGAGAATTTTCTCACCACTAGATGGCGCTGTAATCGGTTATTGATAGCAGTGGTTCAATGCGTCTTCTATTTCGTCACTATATACTTTTATCACTTTAGTGGTTTTTTAACGACCAATAGTAATTAGTTTCTTGCTATAATAATATTGAGCTCATCTTACATGGTAACACTAGCCATAACTATGGTATTTAATTAACACTATGGTATAATAGCGGAGGAGCTTTCGCACGTACGTGATTGCTTGATGCGTTGGATCATCCGTCAACAATACTGAATAGCCGCACAAATCTAAACAGCTTCACCTATGAGATTTGCATTCAGCACCTAGAGAGAAAACCCAAAGTGACGATGAGGCATCGAGACTCGAGGTCAAAGGTCATGTGTGTGGGGGTTGCGATTCTATTCTCAAGGTACAGAAGCTGGATGAAACACTTAATTGCGGCGCAAATGTCAGAGGCTCCCACTGCTTCCTCTCAGTCTGCGTCAAGGGCGTAGCCAGGAATTTGGATTGGGGGAGGGGTCCTCGAGCGAGTAACAAGGGGGTCTGGTGGTCTGAAATATTTTTTTTGAATTAAATGTATTAATTACTTAATTAAAAATTAAAAAGATTTAAAAAAGTAAAAAAAAATCATTCATACATTTTTTTTTGGGATTTTGATTTTGATTAGGGGGTCCTAGGGCCCCAAAGACTCCCCTGGCTACGCGCTTAGTCTGCGTTCGGTGTGTAGGTTGCCCCGTGAGAGAATACACCTCGAGTGTGTGGCAGAAGAGTCATAAGATAGTGGCTCTAAGGTTAGATTGCAGATATTTTACTGCAGTTGGTTCGCGGGTGGACCACACACAGCTGAGCACAGTCACTGGTGGCTATATTAGGAGTGTTCTAATAATATAGATGGCTGTATTACTACACTCTCCTGGTTATATTAACTCCATTCACTCCCACCATTGTGATATCCTGTAGTAAATCGGTGATATATCAGGATTTCATCTGAGGGAAAATTAGACAAAGGAGGTAATGGCCAGTTTTGGGGAAACAACGCGCATGATGGATTCAAAGGCGTGCCGTAGGCATAGGATCCCGCTTCACATGACTCAGTAAACGCACATGGCAATCTAAATTTAATTTAATTTAATTAATTAATTAAATTT